GGCCAACATGGCGAAACCCCATCTCTACTAAAAATACAAAAATTAGCCAGGTGTGGTGGTGGGCACCTGTAGTCCCAGCTACTTGGAAGGCTGAGGCAGGAGAATCACTTGAACTCAGGAGGTGGAGGTTGCAGTGAGCTGAGATTGCACCATTACACTCCAGCCTGGGTGACAGAGCAAGACTCCATTTCAAATAAATAAATAAATAAATAAGAAAAAGAGAAAAAGGAGAAGGAAATAGCCAAGCCTCTTTCTTCCTCCGCTCTTCTTGCTCTCAGCTCCAGGCTGCTCCTTAAACAGGAGGTGACAACCTCATCTCACACATTTTTTAAAAATTTCTTTTAATTTTGAAATAGTTATCACAGGAAGTTGCAAAGATAGAACAGAGAAGTCTGGCAGCAGCTGAGCTGAACACCCCTTCCCACCCTAGATCTCGATGTGCCTGGGGAGCGGGGAGGAAATGACAGTTTAGTCCCAAAGGGCCTCGCTGTGAATCTCAGGCTGGGACTGAGTAGCCAGAGGTGTGTGAATGAATGTCTCCAGGGAGTGCTGGGTCAGCAGGGCACGTGACAATGTCTGGAATAATGACAGCTCACTTTTACGGAGAGCCCGTTCCATAGTAGCCACCGTGCAATAGTGCCGTAGGGGCTGGGGACCTGTCACAGCACAGCCCTGAAGTCCTAGTAGCAATCTTATTACCACCCTGGGAGGGGAAACTGAGGCAATGTCACAGCAGATTCATGGCAGAACTGGGACTGGAACCCAGGTCGCTTTACTGCATGCTTGTTGTGGGCTGTGCGGGCTGCTGAGTGTATTGCGTGTGTGTCACTAGCCCTGTGAGGAAGCCACTATGGTTGTTTTCATCTTATTACTGTCCTGGGCAGAGGTCAGGGGCGAGGGGGACACAGCCAGGCTGGGCGTGGCCACCCAGGGCTCACAGGGACTCTGTTAGTTGCCTGGTTTCACTGCTTCCCTGGCAAGGGGCTCACAGTCAAGTCACCAAAAAAGGAGACCAATGACCTGTTTGGAGAAAAGGGGGAAGGAAAAGGGAAAGCACAGAGGCTGCGTTCTCAGGGGTCCTGCTCCTCCTCCCTTGCGTTCTCCATGCAGCCCTTGGCCTCTGAAATCAAGACACATCTACAAGCCCGTGGTCCAGTCTCCTCCTGTTACAAGACTTTGAGCCATGCCTGGCACTGTGGCCTGCAGAAACCTCAGCTTCTCCTTCTAGGTGAGGAGCAGGGATTCAAGTCCCAAAGGGTCCCCTGCCTGATATCTTTGGGGCCTGGTCACCTGGCCTGGAGTCCCGCATTGAGATTGCTGGGATTAAAAAAAAAATCATGGCCAGGTGAGATGACTTGTGCCTGTAATCTTAGCATCTTGGAAGCCTGACGCAGCGGATCGCTTGAGGCCAGGAGTTCGAGACCAGAATGGGCAATGTAGAGAATCCCCAACTCAACAAAAAATAAAAAATAAATTAGCTGGGTGGCGCCTGTAGTTCTAGTTACTCGGGTGGCTGAGGATCACTTGAGCCCATCTCCAGTTCGAGGCTGCAAAAAAAAAATTTTTTTTAAATTTTATTTTGAAATAAGTATAGATTCACAGAAAGTTGCAAAGATAGAACAGAGAAGTCTAGTGTGCTCTTCACCCAGCGTGCCCTGATGGTTACTTTTTAAATAATTCAGGTCAATATCAAAACCAGGAATTTGACATTGGTATACTGTGTGTGTACAGTTCTGTGCCATTTTATCACATCTAGATGAATAGAACCACCACTGCAATCCAGATACAGAATTATTCTGTCACTACAAAGACCTCCCTCATGCTACGCCCTTCAGAATTGTACACTTTCCCACCATCCCTAACCCCTGGCAACTTTTCATCTTCTCCACCTCTATCATTTTGCTATTTCAAAAATGTTACGACCAGGCGCGGCGGCTCACACCTGTAAACCCAGAGAGCAGGTGGATCACTTGAGGTCAGGAGTTTGAGACCAACCTGGCCAACCTGGTGAAACCCTGTCTCTACTAAAATACAAAAATTAGCCAGGCCTGGTGGTGGCAGGTGCCTGTAAGCCCAGCTATTAAGAAGCTGAAGCAGGAGAATCATTTGAACCCAGGAGGCAGAGGTTGCATCGAGTTGAGATCCTGCAACTGCACTCCAGCCTGGGTGACAGGGCGAAACTCCGTCTCAAAAAACAAACAAAAAGAATGTTACAACGCATGTCATCCTTGGAGACTGGTTTTTTTCACTTTCTGTACCGCTCTTCAGAATTATCCAAGGCGTTGCCTGTAACCTGTTCACACCTCACGCCTTTCTACTGCTGCGTAGTACTCCATGGCACGGATGTATCATAATCTGTTAAGCAACTCACCTGTCGAAGGAGGCATTGGATGTTTTCAGTTTTGTTTTTGTTTTTTTGTTTTGTTTTGTTTCTTTTTGAGGCAGAGTCTTGCTCTTGTTGCCCAGGCTAGAATGCAATGGTGCAATCTCAGCTCACTGCAACCTCCGCCTCCCAAGTTCAAGCAGTTCTCTTGCCTTAGCCTTCTGAGTAGCCAAGATTACAGGCATGCGCCACCATGCCCAGGTAATTTTGTATTTTTAGTAGATATGGGGTTTCACCCTCTTGGCCAGGCCGGTCTTGAACTCCTGACCTCAGGTGATCGCCTGCCTCAGCCTCCCAAAGTGCTGGGATTACAGGCGTGAGCCACCGCGCCCAGCCTGCTTCTAGTTTTTGGCTATTACAAATAAGCTGCTGTGAATAATTGTGTGCAGGTTTTTGTGTGGCCATACGTTTTCATTTCTTGAGGATAAAATGCCCAGGAGTGCAATTGCTGGGTCATCTGGTAGGTATATTTTGTTTAGTTTTTCAGGAAAGTGACAAAATCTTTTCCAGAGTAGCCGGATCATTTTGCATTCCTACCGACCCTGTGTGAATGATTCAAGTTCACGGCATCCTCACCAGCGTTTGGCGTGGCCATTATTGGTTTTTTAATTTTAGCTGTTCTAAAGTGATATCTTGTCATGGGTTTCAATTTGCATTTCACTAGTGGCTGGTGATGTGGGACATCTTTTCATGTGCTTATTTGCCTTCTGTATACCTTCTTCAGGAACGTGTGTCTTCATGTCTTTTGCCTATTTTCTAATTGGACTGGTTTGTATTTATTTAGAGACAGAATCTCCATCTGTCACCCAGGCCGGAGTGTAGCTGGATCGAGGCTCACTACAACCTCCGCCCCCTGGGCTCAGGCGACTGTCCTGCCTCAGCTTCCTGAGTAGCTGGGATTATAGGCACACACCACCACGCCCTGCTAATTTTTGTATTTTGAGTAGAGATAGGGTTTTGCCATGTTGGCCAGGCTGGCCTCGAACTCCTGACCTCAGGTGATCTGCCTGCCTCAGCCTCCCAAAATGCTGGATTACAGGTGTGAGCCATCGCGCCCAGCCTGGTTTTTACTATATATACATGATATACTTACACCACACACATATATACGCACACACTATATAATGTAAAGCTGTCATATATTATATATATGCTACATATATAACAGCTTTGCTGAGATATAATTCATCATATGCCATCAAACACACCCATGTAAAATGTCCAATTGAATGGTCTTGAGTCTATTCACTGAGTTTTACAACCATCACCACAACCAGTTTTAGAACATTTCGTCACCCCCAGAATAATCTCATGCCCATGAGCAGTCACTCTTCATTTCCTCTCGAATTCCGCACCCACCCCAGCCCTATGCAACCACTACATCTACTTCTGTCTCCACAGATTTGCCTTTTCTGACTATTTCATATGAATGGAATATGTAACACAATATGTAACATTTTGTGACTGGCTTCTTTCACTTAATGTTTTCAAAGTTCATTGGTTGCTGGGCATGGTGGCTCACACCTGTAATCCCAGCACTTTGGGAGGCCAAGGTGGGTGGATCCCCTGAGGTCAGGAGTTCAGGACCAGCCTGGCCAACATGGTAAAACCCTGTCTCTACTAACAATATGAAAAATTAGCTGAATGTGGTGGTGTGCACCTGTAATCCCAGTTACTCAGGAGGTTGAGGCAGGAGAATCGCTTGAACCCAGGAGGCAGAGGTTGCAGTGAGCCAAGATCATGCTACTGCACTCCAGCCTGGGCAACAAGAGTGAAACTCTATCTCAAAAAATAAATAAATAAAAAGTTCATCCATGTTATAGCACCTATCAGTACCTCATTCCTTTTTATTATCAAATAATATTTATTATTATTTTTTAAGACAGAGTCTCCTTCTGTCGCCAGGCTGGAGTGCAGTGGCGTGATCTTGGCTTACTGCAACCTCTGACTCCCAGGTTGAAGCAATTGTCCTGCCTCAGCCTCCAGAGCAGCTGGGATTACAGGTGCCCACCAGTATACCCAGCTAATTTTTTGTATTTTTAGTAGAGACGGGGTTTACCATGTTGGCCAGGATGGTCTCGAGCTCCTGACCTCATGTGATCCACCCACCTCGGCCTCCCAAAGTGCTGGGATTACAGGCGTGAGCCACCGCACCTGGCCAAGATATCTGTTTCCTTCTCGATATCTGTGTGCTCCTCCCTCAGCCCTTGGGGGGCTGCTGAAGCTTCAGCGCAGGTGGTCAGATTCCCCATCATTTATGCCTCTGATGGAAAGTAGTGGAAGTGTAGTAACTGGATGGTGTCACTAAATTACAAATACTTTCGGGGGGCCTGTGCCTTTTTCAGTGAGCTGGCAGTCCTGCTTGGCGTGAGTCATTCACATTTCCTGAGAGCTGGGCAAAGGGGGAGTTGTGGAGGAGCCTGTTCTGATCTGATATTGCAAACCCATGCACAGAAAGGAATAACTGTCCGTAGATATTTTAGTCTTCCAGTCTGACTCCAAGCCCGCATCCCCTCCATCGTCTCTTCCCCACTCCCCAGGTCACGATGCTGCTTGGTCCCCCGCAGAGCCACAGAGAAGCAGGGGGTGTGGCCACGGAAGGTAAACTTCTCTGACCAGAGACTTAACTGTACTTCTCCTTTCACTCTCAGATGCTGCCAGCATCCCTGAAGAGGGAAGACACGTGGAAACAGGTAAAAACCATTTTGCTTTTATTTTGCATTTGACAAGCAAGTTATTATGGAACAGCCGATGGGCCAGGCATACCTCCCAGAGCTGGGAACACAGCGGGGATCTCCTTGGCTCTCTCTTACCTGTGTTACAACAGGTTGTAGACAGACCCCTGCCCTGAGTGTCCACCCCGCCAGGCCTGGTGAGTTTTCCGAGAGTAGGGTAAGTTATTGGATGCCCAGGAGGGAAGAATGGGGCCAGGGAGGCCGGCCCCAAGATTCTGCAAGGCCCTCAACAAGGCAGGGCTAAGAAGGTCTGGACAGCATGGCCCTGTCTTGAGCCTCTGTGCATAATGACTGCTCTCCCTAACCTCCTCCCCACCCTCAGCTGCCGAGACCAGCTTGGCTGTGGAGACCCCAACCCAGGTGGCGCTGCAGGAATTAAGAAACAGACACACAGAGATAGAAAGCAAAGGTGAGACATCAGGGGACTTACAGCATTCTCAGCGGACAGCCCAGAGCAGACTGACCCACGTATTTATTCTTTACGTTCCAGTGACAAGTTTAACAAGCGGATGCTCTGTGCTCTTTCATAGGGTAAAGATAAACTAACCAGGCAGCTAGTGTATGTTCACCATAGGTTAAAGATAAACTAGAGTGTACTCTTTACAAGGGAATAAAGGAAAGAGTCACATATCCTGTGTTCAAAGAACTAATTCATCTGGTGTGGGACATATTCATATTGGTTACTGTTTTAGAATGTCTTAAGCAGTTTTCTACTTTAGGGGGCTGACTAGGTTTTCCTTGCCGCCGCCCTCAGCAAACAATATGATATATCACAGACGTCAGAATTTGCTCTCAATATTCAGCCTTCCAATTCGTGGGCCTGGGGCCCTACTCCTGTGCTCCAGAGACTCCTGGAGCTCCTTGAGGCAGCACACAGTCCTGCTCTGGAGGCACCCATCTCCCAGGCCTGCTGGGATACTCCAGCCCAGCCCAGAGGAGGGTGTGGCTAGAGGGTGCTGGCAGAGCAGGCACAATGGCCCAGCTCCTGGAGGCAAGTCTCCGCTGCATGGAATGGAGTCTAGTCCTTGCCACAGGTTCCCTTGTCACCCCTTAGGGAACCTTGAGGGGATTTCAAAGAGCACTGGCCCTGCAACCCTGCAAAGTTTTTTATACAACATGTAAAATAGATCCCATGGCTAAAGAAGTGTGGACAATCTGTTATACTATACTCTAGTCCCCATGTCTAGAGATTAATGGTGTAGATAGAGTTTACTAAAAGGTTTTTAAAGTCCTGCAGTAAGGAATCTAACTTATGCCAGGCACGGCAGCTCATGCCTGTGATCCCTACACTTTCGGAGGCCAAGTTGCGTGAATCATCTGAGGTCAGGAGTTTGAAACCAGCCTGGCCAACATGGTGAAACTCCATCTTTAGTAAAACAAACAGACAAAAAATCATATGGGAGTGGTGGCACATGCCTACAGTCCCAGCTACTCAGGAGGCTGAGGCAGGAGAATCACTTGAACCCGGCAGAGGTTGCAGTGAGCTGAGATCATGCCACTGCACTCCAGCCTGGGTAACAGAATGAGACTCTCAAAAAAAAAAAAAATCTTACTTAACTCTTTAACCCTGCTTTTCTCAAGTGAATGTGACCTTGAAGACGCTTTTTGCATGTGACATTATGAGCATCTGCAGGGCTGATGTCAGCTCTGCCTGGGGAATCTGCCTCAGCTTCAGACCCTGCACCCTGAATTCATGCTCAGACCAGGCCAGACCCCCTTCCTGCTGTTGGCAAGCAGCTTAGCATTCCCCACGCCCATGACTGGACCCCCAGCAGCCCTCGGCATGAGCCATGTGGCCAGAGGAGATAAACAGACAGAAAGGGGAACACTGATGCCTGGGAAACATTGGCGGGTGAGTGGGCGGGGCTTGGGTTGGTGCTGAGACCGGAGACACACTCTGCTGTCACATCCTTCGGGGTCCCAGGGGGCCAGCACAGAGGGCCACGATCATGTAAATTGGGACTTAAATTTAACTCTATGTAAATATATATCTGTGCAGAGGTCAGGGATGGTAGAGGACACGTTCATTGCATAGAGGAAGAGAGAGATGGGCAGCAGTTGCAAAACCTAACCCCCAGACAGGTTTTGTTGCACCAGCTCTGTATATTTTTAGTTTATTTATTTTTATTTTTTTTGAGATGGGGTCTCGCTCTGCTGCCCAGGCTGGAGTGAAGTGGGGAGATCACCACGGGCTTGACTTCCTGGGCTCAAATGATCTTCCCACCTCAGCCTCTTGATTAGCTGAGACTGCAGGTGTGTGCCACCATGCCTGGCTAGTTTTTAAATTTTTTTGTAGACATGAGGTCTTGTTATGTTGCCCAGGCTGGTCTCAAACTCCTGACTTCAAGTAATCCTCTCCTGGTCTATTTTTCTTCTGAAGTAGGACATTCCACATAGAAGTTTGGCTCCTTCTCTTAAAACAGTGGAAGATCAGACAGTGTGAGCTCAGTCAGGTTCTGTCTGGCAATGACTGGCTGGAACTGAGACAGCCACCACCTTTAGAGAAGGCACAGCTTTTGTCACTACCTGGTTGATTTATGTTTCCTACCTGGCCTGTGGGGCATCTGACGGGGACCTTTGGACCACATTCTCCTGAGACCTTCCAGACCCCTCAAAATGTTCTTCTGGTGTCATACTTTGTTTTTTGTGTGTTTTGGGGTTTGTTGTTGTTGCTGTTTTTGAGACAGGGTCTTGCCCTGTCACCCAGGCTGGAGTACAGTGCTGAGATCTCGGCTCACTGCAACCTCCACCTCCTGGGTTCAAGCGATTCTCCTGCCTCAGCCTCCTGGGTAGCTGAGATTACAGGTGTGTGCCACCATGCCTGGCTGATTTTTTTTTTTTTTGTATTTTTGGTAAAGATGGGGTTTCAGGCTGAGTGCGGTAGCTCACACCTGTAAACCCAGCACTCTGGGAGGCCGAAGCGGGCGGACCACCTGAGGTTGGGAGTTCAAGACCAGCCTGATAAACATGGAGAAACCCCATCTCTACTAAAAACACAAAATTAGCCAGGCATGGTGGTGCATGCCTGTAATCCCAGCTACTCGGGAGGCTGAGGCAGGAGAGTCATTTGAACCCTGAAGGCGGAGGTCGGGCTGAGCTGAGATTGTACCATTGCACTCCAGCCTGGGCAACAAGAGTGAAACTCGGTCTCAAAAAAACAAAAAAAAAAGATGGTGATTCACCATGTTGGCCAGGCTGCTCTCGAAGTCCCGACCCCGAGTGATATGCCTGTCTCGGCCTCCCAAAGTATTGGGATTACAGGCATAAGCCGCTGTGCCCAGCTAACCCATACTTTGTTACTGGTTTTAGAATTCTCTTTTACCTGATCTTTCAAACCAAATTTTGACCATATCTGTCCCTGAGTATAATCCTTGATGAGCAGCACCAGGGAGAGCTCCGTGTTATCCAGGGCCTGACATTTGAGGCACACAGTGGTCTGGTGCCACTCAAAGCCTGAGACCTGGGTAGGAAGCTTATAAAATTAGAGATGGGTAAATGAATGGATGGAAAAAAGGAAGCAAGGGAGGAATGAAGGAAGAAAGGAAGGAGTTCTGAAAAGAGAGAGAGACTGCCCCCATGGAGCTCTCAGGCTGAAGGAGAAAAAACTCTGGGCTGGGAGTAGGGGCTCACACCTGTAGTTCCAGCACTTTGAGAGGCTGAGGCAGGTGGTTCACGAGGTCTGGAGTTCAAGACCAGCCTGGCCAACATGGTGAAACCCCATCTCTACTAAAAATACAAAAATTAGTTGGGCGTGGTGGCACCTGCCTTTACCCGGCTACTTGAGGGGCTGAGGCCAGAGGAACACTTGAGCCTGGGAAGCAGAGCTTGCTGTGAGCTGAGATCGCACCACTGCACTCCAGCCTGCGTGACAAAGTGAGACTCTGTCTCAAAGAAAAAAAAAAAAAACAAAAACGAAAGAACTCTGTGAGGATCCCAAATGCCATATCCCCACAATGCAATCAGACCGGGTCCTCCCGGAGCCAGGGGAAGGGTCAGAACTCAGTGGGTGCGCAAGAAAAGCCATGTGGAAGAAGTAAGCCACCAGACGGCTCAAAGACAAACTCTCCCCTGCTCAGGCTTCTACCCAGACACGACACCATGCATCTCCTCGGCCCCTGGCTCCTGCTCCTGGGTAAGGACTGTGGCCTGGGCTGGTACTGGGGTTCTGGGATGTCAGTGGGCACTGGAGGAGGAGGAAAGACCTGGGCTGAGAGGCGTCAACATAGGGTAGGGTGGGGTGGCCAGTGTGTATAGATTACAAATGTACATACAAATATGTACCTTTCCCATATATACATACATTTCTCTCTTTGCATCCTGCTGTCTTTGTGACTCCCTGTATCTCTCCCACTATCTTCAGAGGGAATTCTGTAGTCTTTTGAAAGGTCTCGTCTGGGTGTGGTGGCTCTTGCCTGTGACCCCAGCGCTTTGTGAGGCTGAGGCGGGAGGATCACTGGAAGTCAGGAGTTCAAGACCAGCCTGGGCAACATAGCAAGACCCTCCCATCTCTAAAAAGAATAAAAAATTAAACAAATTTAAAAATAAAGAATAGTTTTTAAAAGAAGGCTCTCATGCCCCCTCAATAATGCTTTCTGATCACTGTGGTGAATTCCAGAACACTTGGCTTTCTCTGCCTCAAGCGACTGGAGACTTCAGCACCCTGAAGCCCTCTACGCCTGGGAGGGGGCCTGCGTCTGGGTCCCCTGCATCTACAGAATCCCAGATTCCGGTGATGCTCTGAAAAGATTCACTCTGTTCCACAATCCTGAGTATAATGACAAAACCAAGAGCTTCGAGGGGACCAGACTCTATGAAAACAAAGAGGACGGAAGGTTTCCCTCTGAACAAAGGGTGCAATTCCTGGGGCACAACAAGAACAACTGCACACTGAGAATCAACCCAGTATACGTCAATGACAGTGGTCCGCTGGGGCTGAGGATGGAATCCCAGAAAAGTAAATGGATGGGAAGAACACACCTCAGTGTCTCTGGTAAGGCCTTCAGGAAGTGGGTCCTCTGCTCTGGGTAGGGGCGAGCTGGGGGCAGGAAATACCTGACTCTTGGCACAGAGCTCACAAACTGAGCTGCCTGCAGAGCTCAGGCAGGGGACGCTGGCGGGTGGCGATGGCGAGGTGGCAGCACTAGACGGAGCTGTGGGACCTCAGGCGTCCCACCTCACCCACAGCTCCTGCCCTTCTGGGACCTGGATTCTAAGGTTGTCGGATCTTCCGATCTTTCTCTCTTTCTTTCTCACCATGTAGTTTTCAGCTTTGGTGACAAACTTGTGTTTGGCCTTAGTGTTGGAGTCATCCAAGCACCACATTCCTTTAGTGGGGTGGGTCTGTGTGCAGCCAGCCTCGGTTCTTCCCCAGGCTGGACCACCCCCTTCAGACAGCGGGGTCTGAAGCTGCATCGCTCACCCCAAACATAGGGCTGCTCAGAGCTGCCCACCAAGGAAACCTAGTATGAAAATGAGTGACCACTCTCCCTCAGCTCCAGACCTATTTGATGGGTCAAATCCACCCCTACGCGTGCAATCCCGTAACTGAGCCTACCTTATAACAATCACAAGATGCTCATTTTACTTTTTTTCTCTTCTTTTCCCCTTCCCCTTCCTTTTTTTTTTTTTTTTTTTTTTTTTGAGATCAAGTTTTACTCTTATTGCCCAGGCTGTAGTTCAATGGCCTGATCTCAGCTCACTGCAACCTCTACCTACCGGGTTCAAGCGATTCTCCTGCCTCAGCCTCCCAAGTAGCTGGGATTATAAGCATGCACTACCATGCCCAGCTAATTTTGTATTTTTAGTAGAGACGGGTTTCTCCATGTTGGTCAGTCTGGTCTCAAACTCCCAACCTCAGGTGATCCACCCTCCTCAGCCTCCCAAAGTGCTGGGATTACAGGCATGAGTCATCGCGCCTGGCCTCCCTTCCCTTTTTATGAGACAGGGTCTTGCTCTGTTGTCGCCCAGGCTGAAGTGCAGTGGCGCTATCTCAGCTCACTGTAGCCTTGATCTCCTGGGCTCAAGCGATCTTCCCATCTCAGCCTCCAGAGCAACTGAGATCACAGGTACATGCCACCATGCCTGGCTAACTTTTTAATTTGTTGTAGAAATGGGTCTTGCTATGTTGCCCAGGCCTCAAGCAATCCTCCTGCTTCAGCCTCCTAAAGCATTGGGATTACAGGTGTGAGCCACTGAACCCGGCCAGATCTTCTGATTTTTCAAGAGACGATGGAAATCCAGATTTTCCAGTGAGATCTCTCCACGTGTTAATGTTCATGGCACGTTCCCATGAGCTCTTCAAGGCTAGATGATACTGTTGTGAAACCCAAAAGGCCAGTTTTTAGCTCCCGATGCGTAGTCAGCCAAACACTGACACATCAGTGCTTAGAAGCTCAGAAAAGGTTTCTTTAATTTAGCCAAAGCGAGGGGAGGGATGAGGGAAACTCTCAAATCTAACCTGACTTTGAGCATTACTGGGGGCTTTTATGAGTAAAGTAGGTGTGCAGGTATGACATCCCGATCATCAAAGCTGTTGTGCCCCTCGGCTCATCAAATTTCTTTTTTCTGTTTTGTTTTTTTTTTGTTTTTTTTTTTTTTTTTTGAGACGGAGTTTCGCCCTTGTTACCCAGGCTGGAGTGCAATGGCGCGATCTCGGCTCACCGCAACCTCCGCCTCCTGGGTTCAGGCAATTCTCCTGCCTCAACCTCCTGAGTAGCTGGGATTACAGGCATGCGCCACCATGCCCAGCTAATGTTTTTTGTATTTTTAGTAGAGACGGGGTTTCACCATGTTGACCAGGATGGCCTCGATCTCTTGACCTTGTGATCCACCCGCCTCGGCCTCCCAAAGTGCTGGGATTACAGGCTTGAGCCACCGCGCCCGGCCTTCTGTTTTGGTTTTTTTTTGAGACTGAGTCCTGCTCTTGTCGCCCAGGCTGGAGTGCAGTGGCGTGATCTCAGCTTACCGCAACCTCCGCCTCCCAGGTTCAAGCGATTCTTCTGCCTCAGCCTCCCGAGTAGCTGGGACTATGGCACCCGCCACCACACCCAGCTAATTTTTGTATTTTTAGTAGAGACGGGGTTTCACCATGTTGGCCAGGCTGGTCTTGAACTCCTGACCTTGTGATCCACCCGCCTCGGCCTCCCAAAGTGCTGGAATTACAGGCGTGAGCCACTGCACCTGGCCTCGGCTCATTAAATTTCTGCATGTCATCAAGGAGGTCTGTGAGACCTAAGGATCACTGTTCTTTGAAAGAAAGACAAGTTCATTTATCTTGCAGACTGCCCCCAGGAGGTGAGGATATAAGTTAATCAATTATTAGTGAATTAATGGTTACCTGCTACTGAAATGACCAAATGCAACTAATCATGCATGGAGGAAGGAAAAGACAAAGAGAAAAGAAAAGAATTAAAATGAACGTCTTAAATTTTTTATAACACAGGCTCAGTTATTGCACTGCACATGTAGGGGCAAATTTGACCCATCAGACACAGGTGTGGGGTCTCTGCCCTAGGAGTGTGCTTACTCTGTTCCACATCCTGTTTCCTGGATGCGTAGTTCTGAGCAGCCTTAAATTTGGGGTGAGTGATGCAGCTTCAGACCCCGCTGTTTGAAGCGAGTGGTTCAGCCTGGGGGAAAGCTGAGGCTGGCTGCACACAGACCCACCACCCCACTAAAGGAATGCCGCGCTTGGATGGCTCCAATACTGAATGAAGCCAGGAAAACAACACAAGGTTGTCAAAGCCGAAAAGCACATGAACTAAACTGGTAAAATACACTTAGAGGTGGTGGGAGTACAACCTTGCATCATTCAGAAAGCACACATCCAGCAATGAGAATGAAAGAATTATAGATCACAATTCCCAAGGACGTTTAGTGTGGTCAAGGCCTTTCAGAGAGGATTTCAGGTGAGCAAAAGTGATTCAAAGTGGAGAACAGCAGGTCTAGGCTGGGTGCAGCAGTTCCCGCCTGTAAGCCCTGCACTTTGGGAGGCTGAGGTCGGAGGATCACTTGAGCCCAGGAGTTTGAGACCAGCTTGGGTAACATGGCAAGACCCTATCTCTACAACAAATTTTAAAAACTAGCTAGGTGTGGTGGCACATGCCTGTAGTCCCAGTTACTCAGGGGACTGAGGTGAGAGGATTGCTTGAGCCCAGGAGGTCGAGGCTGCAGTGAGCTAAGACTGTGCCACTGCACTCCAGCCTGGGTGACAGAGCAAGACCCTGTCTCTAAAGAAAAAAAAGAGGCCCGGCGTGGTGGCTTACACCTGTAATCCCAGGGCTTTGGGAGGCCAAGGCAGAAGGATCACTGAGGTCAGGACTTCAAGACTAGCCTGGCCAACGTGGTGAAATCCTGTCTCTTCTAAAAATACAAAAAATTAGCTGGGCATGGTGGTGGGTGCCTGTAATCCCAGCTACTTGGGAGGCTGAGGCAGGGGGATCACTTGAATTGGGGAGGGGGATGTTGCAGCAAGCTGAGATCTCGCCACTGCACTCCAGCCTGGGTGACACAGGGAGATTTCATCCCCCACCCCCCAAAAAAACAAAGCAGGACTGGAGAGAGGTGGAATGAAGTGGCAAGGGGTTCCTGAGGGGTGACCTGGGATAGGACATCTAAAGCCAGGTGTACACTCACGTCCTTAGTCCCCCAGGCTCCAGCATGGGCTCTGTTCTTTTGCAGAAAGGCCTTTTCCACCTCATATCCAGCTCCCTCCAGAAATTCAAGAATCCCAGGAAATCACGCTGACCTGCTTGCTGAATTTCTCCTGCCATGGGTATCAGATCCGATTGCAGTGGTTCCTGGAGGGGGATTCAATGGCACAGGCTGTTGTCACCCCGACCTCCGTGGTCCCTGAGTCTGTCTTCACCTGGAGCAAGGTCCCTGAGTCTCTCTTCACCCGGAGCGAGCTCAAGTTCAAGACGCAGTGGAGTCACCACGGGAAGAATGTGACCTGCCAGCTCCAAGATGTGGAAGGGAAGGTCCTCTCCGAAGACACAGTGCAGCTGAATGTGAAGCGTGAGTCTCCCCGACGCTCCTATGGGAAGGGCCAGGTCTTTGGCACCTTCTCCCCAGCCCCCGCAGGGGGCATGCACCCAGGGCACTGGGAAGCCTGCACAGACAGGGGCGTCCTCGAGCCCCGGTCACACTGACCTCCCTCTGGCACCACCCATCTTGTCAGCCCTGGGGTTTTGGGAAATCCATTCCATTTAGCTTAACAGAATAAAACGGTCCATCCTTGGCCAGGCGTGGTGTCTCACACCTGTAATCCTAGCACTTTGGGAGGCAGAGGCAGGTGGATCATGAGGTCAGGAGATCGAGACCATCCTGGCTAACACGGTGAAACCCCATCTCTACTAAAAATGCAAAAAATTGGCAAGGCGTGATGGCGTGTGCCGGTAGTCTCAGCTACTCGGGAGGCTGAGGCAGGAGAATCACTTGAACCCAGGAGGCAGAGGTTGCAGTGACCCGAGATCTCACCAGTCACTGCACTCCAGCCTGGGCGACAGGGCCAGACTCCATCTCAAAAAAACAAAACAAAACAAAACAAAAACGGTCCATCCTCAAGCAGAGACATGATTTGGGGATTATCTGGTTAGGTCTTTTTGTTTCCCTCTTGGGGGGGATTTTTTATTTTGTGCCTCATTCATTCAATAAACATGTATCACAAATCTGCTAGGTTCCAGGCCTTGTTAGGGCTGCCAGCTGTGGGGGGGGGGCGCACAGGGCAGGAGGCAGGGTGCAGCAGTGAGCAAAGCTCTTGCCCCACACGGAGCTGGAGCCGGCACTGCAGTGAAAGAGATGGACAACAAATGGATTAACAAAGAAATACAGAGCACGAGCCAAGACATTAGAATATGGAGCAAAGCAATGTTAACAAAGAAAGATACAACACTGTTGTAGGAAGATGTGCGTATCAGGAAAAAAATAAGGCCGGGAGAGGGGAGTGATGGAGAGAGATCTCTTTAAGAAGGTGAGCACTTAAGCTGATTAGAACAGAGGGAGGGGCTGAAGCTGGCGAATATTTTCTTTCGAGAGGAGGACTTCAGAGGAAGAGAAGAGCATGTTCAAAGGCTGGAGGCAGGAGCTGGGAGTGGGAGGATCTCAGAGGCTGAGGGTCACATGGCAGGACAGGAGGCAGGAGATGGAGCGGGACTCTGGATCCCAAGGGCTGCAGTGAGGGTTTGGGATTCTATGCAACACGTGGAACCCACTTGTGGCTTCCCGCAGGACTGGCGAGGTCTGGTGCATGGTGTGAGAAACCCTGCATGCTGCTGGTGGAGACCAGCAGGCAGAGGAAGTGGGAGGGGGAAGCTGAAAGCCAAGTTAGGAGGCCATGACCAGACCGTGACCTGGGTCACCGCTTTGTCAGAATAAAAGTCCTTTCCCCACCTTCTGCCCTCTGAGAATTCCCCGCTCCCTCCCCGACTGTCCCTCTGCTTCTCCAGACAGACCACAATTGAAGATCAAAGTCACTCCCAGTGAACTCACGGTGAGGGAGGGGGACTCTGTGACCATGACCTGCGAGGTCAGCAGCAGCAACCCGGACTACAGGACTGTATCCTGGCGCAAGGATGGGGCCCTGTTGGAGGGACAGAACACACTCAGGCTACCGCTGCCGGCAGTGACCAAGCACCAGAATGGGACGTACTGCTGTCAGGCCACCAATGACGTGGGCACAGGAATGTCAGACCCAGTGGTCCTACAAGTGCAGTGTGAGCCCCTCGGAGCTGGGGGTGGGCCAGGCAGGGAGTTGGCAGGAGAGGACCCGGAGAGGGGAGCCTCAGGGACTCTCGGGACCGTATGCTCAGGCTGAGGGGGTGCTCTCCTCACCTCCCCACTCGCCTCTGCCCCCTCTTCCAGATGCCCCAGAACCTTCCAGTGTTCAGATCTCCCCGTCACCGGCTGTGGAGGGAAATGAAGTCAAGTTTCTTTGCACATCACAGGCCAATCCTCCTCCAACAAATTACACGTGGTACCACAATGGGAAAGAAGTACAAGGAAGGACAGAGGGGACATTCTGCATCACCAAGGCCCTCCCCTGGCACGCTGGGACTTATTCCTGCGTGGCAGAAAACATTCTTGGTGCTGGACAGAGGGGCCCGGGAGCTGAGCTGGACGTCCAGTGTGAGTAGCCATGCAGCGTCTGGTTCTAGGGAGAGACGATGGACACAGGGAGGGGGAAGGCAGATGGGGTGCAGGCATTCCCGGGTCCTACAGTCAAGAGTAAGGAGCAGCCAGGGTCTCCTGACATGTCAGCTTCTCAGGGTAGGGGCTTTGTTGCTGTTCACAGCTGCGTTCCCAGCTCCCAGCATAGGGCCCGGCTCACGGAAGGTGCTCAGTAGATGCTTATTGAATGAATGAGGCCAGGCACGGTGGCTCACACCTGCAATCCCAGCTCTTTGGGAGGCGAAGGCAGGAGGGTCGCTTGAGCGCAGGAGTTTGAGACCAGCCTGGGTCACACAGAGTGAGATACCATCTCTACAAAAAATGCAAAAATTAGCTGGGCGTGGTGGTGTGCGCCTGTGCTCCCAGCTACTGGGTGCGCCAAGGTGGGAGAATTGCTTGAGCCCAGGAGGGTGAGGCTGCAGTAAGCCATGTTCCTGCTACTGCACTCCAGCCTGGGTGACAGAGCAAGACCCGGGTCTCAAACAAAAAAGAAAAGAAAAGAAAAGAAAAAAAAAAATGCTGGGGCTGGGATTATAGATGTGGGCCAGGCACGGTGGCGCGGTGGCTCACACCTGCAATCCCAGCACTTTAGGAGGCTGAGGCGGGTGGATCACTTGAGGCCAAGAGCTTGAGTCCAGCTTGGGCAACATGGTAAAACCTCATCTCTACAAAAAAATTAGCCTCTCATGGTCGTGCATGCCTGTAGTCTCAGCTACACAGGAGGGTAAGGTGGGAGGATCATCTGAGACGGGGTGGTCAAGGCTGCAGTGAGCCAGTGATCACACCGCTGCTCTACAGCCTGGTGACTGAGTGAGACCGTCTCAAAAAAAAGAATGAATTGGCTAGCTGTGGTGGCTCATGCCTGTAATCCCAGGCAACTTTGGGAGGCCGAGGTGGGTGGATCACTTGAGGTCAGGAGTTAGAGACAAGCCTGGCCAAAATGGCGAAACCCTGTCTCTACTAAAAATATAAAACATTAGCTGGATGTGGTGGAGGACGCCTGTAATCCCAGGTACTTGGGAGGCTAAGGCAGGAAAATCACTTGAACCCGGGAGGTGGAATTTGCAGTGAGCCGAGATGGCACCACTGCACTCCAGCCTGGGGAACAGAAGAGTAAGACACTGTCTTCTAAAAAAAAAAAAAAAAAAAAAGAATGATTAACTGCGAGATACCAGGACTCCATGAGGGACACAGAGACTTAGTGTCCCTAGGCAGTGACTGAGTCTCAAAAGAGGCCTTGAAATTTTTGGTGAGAACTGGGGCAACATGCCTCATTACGCCTCCATTGTGAGACCCTGTTTAACACAGTGATCTCGTCACTGAGTAGAGCACAGGACAAAGAGAATGCATAGATTTGATCCTTGACCCTGAGATGTCATATGTGCTGACGGGACACGGGTGCCCAAATCCTGAGCATCTCAGACAGCTGGATGCATGACCACAGCATCCGCAGCGGTGTCTGTACAACGTTTGCCACACCACACTCTCCTCTAAGGGCACCATCTCATTTCCTCCTTGGAACAATTCCAGGAGGTTAGGAACTCTCAGGACCCCCCCCAGCTCTCAGGACCGCCCCCCCCGCCGAACTCTCAGGGCACCCCCGACCCTGCCACCCAACCCCTGCTGCCTTTTGTTTTTGAGAGAGAGTCTAGCTCTGTTGCTCAGGCTGGAGTGCAGTGGCACGATCTCGGCTCACTGCAACCTCTGCCTCCCAGGTTCGAGCTATTCTCCTGCCTCAGCCTCCTGAGTAGTGAGAACTACAGATATGCACCACTATGCATAGCCAATTTTTAAAATTTTTAGTAGAGACAGGTTTTGCTGTGTTGGCCAGGCTGGTCTCGAACTCCTGACCTCAGGTGATCCACCCTCCTTGGCCTCCCAAAGTGCTGGGATTACAGGCATGATCCACCATGCCCGGCCTCAGGACCCCATTTGACAGATGCATAAACTGAGACCTGAAGCTCATGCCGGTGCACCTCTCAGCAGCCATCTGGCCCAGGTGCTGTGCTCTGGACCCCTGCACCAAACCACAGCCAGGCCAGAGAGCCAGGGCAGGGTTTCTGTCCTCGCGCAGATGCAGAAAGGAAGCACAAGCTTCCTTTCAACTACTTTAGGACCTGTGTGGATGCCTGAGACAGGTAGCGGGAGAAGAGGAAGCAAGAGGGAAGGGACACTAAGGACAACTGGCTTTTCTTTACTCACCTCTCCAGTTTTCTTCCAGATCCTCCCAAGGAGGTGACCACAGTGATTCAAAACCCCACGGCGATTCGAGAAGGAGATACGGTGACCCTTTCCTGTAACTACAATTCCAGTAACCCCGGCGTTACCTGGTATGAATGGAAAACCGGTAGCACCCATGAGTCGTCATTGTCTGGGGTGCTGAAGATCCAAAACATTGCCTGGAACAACAACGTCGTCAGCTGCGCAGCTTGTAACCACTGGTGCTCGTGGGCTTCCCAGGTCACCCTGAATGTCCAGTGTGAGTCCCCGGGCTGGGCAGGGGGATCTGGGAGGTAGCCTGGCTGGGACATGGGGATGGAAGGTGACGAGGCTGGAGCCTGGGCCAGTGTCTTCGACAAAATTGAGGGGTAGGAGCCTGGCCTCGGGGCCAAGGGGAGGGGAGGCCTGGGGACAGCAAGAGGGACAAGGAACGGTGAGGTCAGCTTGGGACCCTTGCCCTCCAGATGCCCCCCGAGGCGTGTGGGTCCGGAGAGTCAAGCCCCCTTCCGAGATTTACTCTGGGAACTCAGTCAGCCTCCAATGTGGCTTCACAAGCAGCCACCCCAAAGAAGTTCAGTTCTTCTGGAAGAAAAATGGCAAACTTCTGGGGGAAGAAAGTGAGCTGAACTTTGACTCCATCTCCCCAGAAGATGCCGGGAGTTACAGCTGCTGGGTGAAGAACTCCATCGGACAGACAGCATCCGAGCCCTGCACGCTCCAAGTGCTGTGTGAGTGGGGGCCGGAGGTTGGGAGTGGAGCAGAGAGGGGACTGGCGACCTGCCTGGTGGTAACCTGCCCCTTTTCCCCCACCCGCTGTGCAGATGCACCCCGGAGGCTGCGTGTGTCCATGAGCCCAGGGAACCGAGTGATGGAAGGGAGGAGGGCAGCCCTGACCTGTGAGAGCGATGCCAACCCTCCCGTCTCCTACTACACCTGGTTTGACCGGAATAACCGAACCTTCCACTACCCGGGCCAGACGCTGAGATTGGAGCCAGTGGAGGTCGAGCACTCGGGTGCTTACTGGTGCCGGGGGACCAACAGTGTGGGCGAGGGCTACTCGCCCCTCAGCACCCTCACTGTCTACTGTAAGGCCTCTTCCTGCTCTTGTTCTTGGTGGTGGTGGTTCTTCTTTCTTCTTCTTCCCCGCCCCCCTTCTCCTCCTCCTCCTCCTTCTTTCTTCTGTCTTCTTTTCTCTTCTCTTCCTTTTTTTCTTCTTCCTCTTCTTCTTCTTCCTTCTCCTTCTTCTCTTTCTCCTCCTCCTCCTTCTCTTCTTTTTTCTTCTTCTTCTCCTCTTCTTCTTTCTTTTTTCTTCTTCTGCTGCTTCTTTTTTTTTTTTTTTTGAGACAGTCACGCTCTTGTCACCCAGGCTGGAGTACAGTAGCTCAATCTGGGCTCACTGCAACCTCCACCTCCCGGGTTCAAGCTATTCTCCTGCCTCAGCCTCCTGAGCAGCTGGATTGCAGGCATGTGCCACCACGCCCAACTAAGTTTTGTACTTTTAGTAGAGACGGGGTTTCACCATATTGACCACGCTGATCTTGAACTCCTGACCTTGTGATCCGCCTGCCTTGGCTTCCCAAAGTGCTGGGATTACAGACGTGAGCCACCGCACCCAGCTCCTTGTTTTTATCCTTTAAGATGTCAGTGATTTTTTTTTCCAAACAGGGTCTCACTCTTTTGCACAGGCTGTAGTGTGCAGTGACACAATCTCAGCTCCTGCCTCGACCCCCTGGGCTCAAGTGGTTCTCCTGCCTCGGCCTCCAGAGTAGTAGGCTTGGGAGATTTTAAAGCAGATCATATAAGCAAATGGTAAAAATATAAAATGTAAGCATGAAAGGGTCAATAGTGGAAAGACAGATGCTGCTCACTCTTGATCCCTGAGGACTCATCCCAACCACAGGTCCTCACTGCACACATCGCCCCACCTTCCCCGGGGGTGTTTTTCACATGCACAATTCACATACAGGGGTCTGTGTCTACACACCGTTCCTCGTGACACAGACCAGGCAGAGCTCACACTTTGCCCAGGACTTTTCTTTGCTTTTTTCCATGGAATAATACCACTTGGACATTGTTCTGTATCTGTGCATACACAGGGTGCCTAAAGTCTGCAGGCGGCGCAAGGTGGCTCACACCTGTAATCTCAACACTTTGAGGGGCAGAGGTGGGAGGATCACTTGAGCCCAGGGGTTGAGACCAGCCTGGACAACATAGCCCATACCTCATAGCAAGACCTGGTCTCTACAAAATATACCAAAATATATATACATTAAAAATAAAACAATAACAAAAAGAAGAGTCTGGAAGCATAGAGAACATATTTGATTAATTTATTATACTTTTGCAGATTAATGATTGGAAATATGGCCTTAAATTTAGGGAACCTGGCCGGGCGCAGTGGCTCAACGCCTGTAATCCCAACACTTTGGGAGACCGAGGCGGGTGGATCACTTGAGGCCAGGAGCTCAAGACCAGCCTGGCTAATATGGCGAAACCCCATCTCTACTAAAGATATAAAAATTAGCTGGGCGTGGTGATGTGCACCTGTAATCCCAGCTACTTGGAAGGCTAAGGCAGGAGAATCGCTTGAACCCGGGAGGCAGAGGTTGCAGTGAGCCGAGATCATGCCACTGGACTCCAGCCTGGGCAACAGAGTGAGAGTCTGTCTTAATCAATCAGTCAATGTAGGGAACCATCACCAGCACAGCCGAAGACCAAAGGAAAACATCTGGAACATATTACTGGATATGTCACAGACACATCCCATCATATAAAAAACTGTTCCCTGGGTCTCCCCTTTGCAGACAGCCTGAGACCCGCCTCTTTTTCCCAGGGCCATGGAGCCCTCTCGTATGAAGGTTGCATACGTTTTCCTCCCAGTGCCCTCTTAAGGGCCAAGGTCTGCAGCCTCTTGTTTTGGGCATGCCTGCAAGGACAGCTGCAAGATGCATTCCCACGTGGAATTGCTGGGTGGAAGACAGGGGCATTTTTGGAGCTGATCACACAGCCACACTGCCGTGAAGAGCTGCATCCATTCGTGCGGGTGTGGGTCACAGGCTTGGGGCGTGCCGCGTCTGTGGGAAAAGCAGCTCCTCAGAATTAGTGCCTTCCTCTTAACAGGAGGCCCAGAGCAGGCAGGGGTCGGTGTCGCCCTCTTCCTCTGCACTCCTCTTGCATGCATGCAGGGGAGAAGGATGGGGCTGGCTGCAGAGAGAAGTCCAGGATGCCTTCCAGGCAAAGGCTGCCAGGCAGAACTGGCTCCTCAGCTGATTAAGGTCTCTCCTTTCTTTCTCCACCCAGATAGCCCAGAGACCGTCGGCAGGCAAGTGGCCCTGTTTCTTGGGTCCTGCCTGGCCATCCTCATCCTGGGGATCTGTGGGTTCAAGCTCCAGCAACGGTGAGCTCCTGCCACTGCCCAACTCCTCCTCTCTCCCTTGGCAGAGGCCTGTGTCCAGTTGCTCCATCTCGGAGCCTCCAGCCTGTGGAGTCCCTGACCCGCACACATGTCCCTTTATTTCTCAGCTGGGAGAGGACACAGAGCCAGCAGGGGCTTCAGGAGAATTCCAGTGGCCAGAGCTTCTTTGTGAGGAATAAAAAGGTAGGATGGGGCTGGGTACAGTGGCTCACACCTGTAACCCCAGCACTTTGGGAGGCTGTGGCAGGCAGATCACCTGAGGTTGGGAGTTGGAGACCAGCATGGTCAACATGGTGAAACCCTGTCTCTACTAAAAATATTTTTTAAATTAGCTGGGTGTGGTGGTGCATGCCTGTAATTCCAGCTACTCGGGAGGCTGAGGCAGGAGAATTGCTTGAACCTGGGAGGCAGAGGCTGCAGTGAGCCAGAATCGCCACTGCACTCCAGCCTGGGCGACAGAGCCAGACTCTGCCTCAAAAAAAAAAAAAAAAAAAAAACAGTAGGATGGGAGAAAGGTGAATGCAGGGCAGACTGTGAAGCAAAGTGAAGGAGGGGAGTAAGACGTCCTCTGGGGAAACCTGGGCTGTCAAAGGACAGGGAAGGGGACGAGGGTGGAGGGACAGGTGGTTGGCACTTCACCCACGCCTCCCTTCCAGGTTAGAAGGGCCCCCCTCTCGGAAGGTCCCCACTCCCTGGGATGCTACAATCCGATGATGGAAGATGTCATTAGCTATGCCACCCTGCAATTTCCTGAGATGGATACACCACGAACTGGGTACTGAGGGTACCGGGAGGGCGGCCTGGCACCCTGGGGGGGAGGTGAGAGGAAAAGCTCTTGTCCTGCCTGCCCTCTTTGTGCCAGGCCCATGCCAGGCACCACGATACACGCCTCATTCCCACTCCATAACAAGCCTCTGGGTAAGGGCCAGTCTCCGGAAGTGGACCTGCTCCTTCAAGTCAGCAGCGCGCACGCCCAGTCCATCCTTATCACGGAGGTCAAGACCTCGTGATACACACTCACACCTGCTCCCTCCACATACATTTGCAAGAGCTCCTACTGTGAGCTTTGGGTGCTGGGGAGGCAGCAGGTTTTACAGAAGAGGCTGACGTTGGGGTGCTATTGGGGGAGCAGTGGCTCACATCTGTAATCCCACACTTTGGGAAGCTGAGGTGGGACGATCAGGAGGTCAGGAGTTCAAGACCAGCCTGACCAAAATGGTGAAACCCTGTCTCTACTAAAACTACAAAAATTAGTTGGGCATGGTGGCGGGTGCCTGTAACCCCAGCTACTCGGGAGGCTGAGGCAGGAGAATCACTTGAACCCAGGAGGCGGAGGTTGCAGTGACCACGCCATTGCACTCCAGCCGGGGAAAAAAAGGAAAACCCCTTAAAAAAAAAAAAAAAAAAAGAAAAGAAAAAGAAAAAAAGAGAGAGAGAGACAGAAAAGTTCATGAGAAATGCTTCATGTGTGGTTGTCCATCTGCCCTCTCTCTCAGAGATGCAGGGACCTCAGAGATCCAGAGACCTGCCCCAGACCGCAATGACTCGGTCATTTATTCAGTGTTGCAGAAGCGGCAAGCGGTAAGGAGGGTGGGGCTGTGGAAGGCTGGGGACGGGCCTGGCCTTGGCAGTGGGTCCCACTTGGAAGGACTGAGGTAGACATCCGTGATGGCAGAGGTTGGGTATTGGAGACGGTTGCTCTGGAAGAGCTGGTGAGAGCCAGGCAGGCACCTCCAGGTCCTGGATGCCGGCCACAGCCCGTTTCCGAACACCAGGACGCCTGGGCTTTTGGACCCCTGGGTGGAATGAAGGAGAGGATTCGGAGGAAAGCAGCGGTGGGACGCTGGGGGCAGCAGGGCCAGGCTGACCACCACACGGCTTTCTCAGGACGACTATGAGAACGTGGTTCCAGATTTTCCAGAGGATGAGGGGATTCATTACTCGGAGCTGATTCGGTTTGGGGTTGGGGAGCGGCCTCAGGCACCGGAAAACGTGGACTACGTGATCCTCAAGCACTGACACTGGACAGGCTGCGGCAGAGGCACTAGGAGCAGCGGGGGTCAGGGAAGTCCCAGAGCTTCCCCAGACGCCACCACACGGCTTCCTCCTTCGTGCGCACACACACACACATTCACACCCGCACATACTCACACATGCTCACTGCGGAGAACCCTGTGCCTGGCTCAGCCAGTCTTTCTGGTGAGGGTAACCCCAACCCTCTACTCTCCTTGCTACCCAGAAACCCATCTAAACAACTGCCCCAAGATGCACACCTTCCTGTGCCCAGCCCCCGCCCATTGGCTGCCACCCGCCCCTCTGACCCCCCCCCCCCCCCCCCCCACCCCAGCTGCTTGTGTCCCTCTGGGATATGCCTGTCATATTTTTCCTTCCCTCTTCCATCTCTTTGGCCTCCTACCCCTGATCTGACATCCCCACTCACGAATCTTACGCCCAGTTTCTGCCTCTTGGGGGGAAAGCCCAGAAAAGGACAGAATTAAGGTAGGAAGGGGCCCAGTCCTGGCCTGGCTTCTCCTCTGGAAGCGAGGCATTGCATGGGGAGCGTATGCCACAGCGGCCCCTCGCCTCCGGGAACTCTGGGTTTGACGTGGACACACCGGTGTGGACAAACATGCGTTGGAGACAGAGCTCACAATAAAGATGGCTCAGATGCCACTTCAAAGAACCCGTGAACTCTTTTCAGTCTGTAGAGTCAGAGTGGGGAAGAGGAGAGGGGGAAGCCTTCATGGGGCCTGGTGAGGAAGGGAATGGAGTCACGGTAGTTTAGTGATCAAATCAGCCCATTGGAGAGTCCGGCGTCTTGTTAGGAAAAGCATGCTGGCTTTGCAGGCAGACAAGCATGAGAGCTTGAATCTTGATTTTTTGACTTCACTAGCCAGGTGATCTTGGCAGGGCTTGCCAGCTTGCCTGAGCCTTGGTTTCTCCATCTGTAAAGTGGAGAGGGAGAGGCCACTGCCCACCATGCAGGTGGCCCCCGATAGGAAGTGAGGCATCGTCATATAGGCTGGAGCCAGCACAGAAGCCAAAAGTCCCCCAGGAAACAAACCCCATCCTTTATTTGCATTTCTCGAAGAATGTGAAAAGGGGAAGCCAATTCAATACAGCTCTTCTCGAAAGTGACGCTACCCAGCTCTTGCACAACCCATAGCTGCCAGAGAAAGTCTTGAAGACCAGCCACACTGTGAAAGCTCACAGCTTTTCTGCCGTTCACGGTCCTCCGCACCAGTTCCCTAATTCTGTGCACTGATTCAGATTTTCCAGTTAGGTGCCCCTGCTTCCCTCTCCGCTTCTCAGATTTGATCTCTCTCCACCCATCCACCTGCTTCTGCGAAGGGACCAAAGCCAATGTTCCTTAGACAGCAGGGGTGTGATTATCCGATCATCAAGGGGACTAGCTCCTGACACACGGCAGGTGTCCCCAAACTGCTGACTTCCTTTCCCACCCTCCTTTCCCATCTCTGCTCAATACCTGGATGCTGACTCTAGGAATTACAGTGCAGGGAAGCCTTGATCTCACCATCAATCCACTTTGTCCCTGGTTTGATTTCTGGTGAGCATCGTTAACTTTTCTGGAGGAAGATGAGTCTTTAAGAACTGTTTAAATGAGACAGAGAGGGCGTTGGGATGTCTGTGGCCAAAATGAGGTTCGGTGTCATTCATCCCTTCCTTCATTTATTCGGCACACAGTTACTGAGCACCTGGGAATGCAACCAGTACAGATCCAGTTGTTAGGACACCAAAAATATAAGGCAGAGGACCAACCTTGGGGATCTCTAAATCTAGGGGACCCAAAGGTTTTTAGCGCAGGATCCCCTGGATGGAGTCAAGGCAGTCCTAAGCCTGAAGGGCTCCCTGGCAACCACCAAGTGTCTTCCCCTTCCCACCCTGTCCCTCAGCACAGCTGCTGACATAAACCTACTACATGGCTGATTGACCGTGAGATGTGGCCATCAATAGACATTGCTGAGGCGTGAAGAGCAGGTGGCCAGGAAGCTGGGCGGCGGGGCCAGGACTCCAGACGCAGGCCCGTGCCACCCTCCACAACCCCAGCTCTCACCGTCCTCCTGGGACCCATACAATGGATCGTTCATTTACCTCCCCACACACTTGCTGTGCAACACGCAGCAAAGCAGACAAAGCAGACAAAAACCTCTGCCCTCAGGAGGCCGGCATTCTAGCCCAGGAGCCAGCCAAGACGATGTCACAGTCATGGGTGCTCTGAAGAAACACAGCAAAAGTGAGATTCACAGGAGAGATCAGGGTGGCTGAGGCACCCAGGAAGGACCTCGGAGGAGGTGACCTTGGGTGAAGAGCCAGATGCCAGTGGGCGGAAAAACCCAACCGCTCCCCGGGGCTTTGCTCTTGCCATAGGAGGGGAAACGGCACTGCTTCCGATTCTTCCTCTGTTCTGTCAGTTTCTCGGTTCCCAACACCACACTGAACAGTAGGAGGCAAGTTCTCTGCTCACAGCGGGTGCTGCACCCCATGTGCGGGTCTCGAGAAAAAGCCGAGCATAGACCAATTTAGTGGCTCCGAGGTATGAAAAGGAGTGAGATGGCGTCTTTGAGGGGCTTAGTGATAGGCTGAGCCCCCGTACTGCCCCCCCGAAGCCTGGTGACCGGAGCTGCTCAGAGGCCACACAGAGAGAGGCTTATGATGGGGCACCTGGAACTCAGACGGGGAAGAATGGTCAGGTGACCCCCACACGAGAAAACCGATGTGGAGAGTCTGTGTTGTCATTCTGAGGCAGGAAATAGACAGACAGACAGACACGGGCACAGTGAGAGACAGAGACAGATTCACGAAGCAAAGCTGGCTTCTCACTGGCAGGCTTGGGCACACCTGAGGGAGAGTCTGGAGCCCTTAAAAATCTTCCTTAGGCCTCCTGGGGGGCTCAGGTGACCCCAATGGGAAACATGAAGGGCTGGGAGGATTCCCAGGGCTGAGAGAAGAAAGCTATGCAGCCAGCCAGGGCCACATCTCCTGCGCCTCAGGGAGTGCCCCCAATGTCCCCATCCATACGCCCTGGAGGGAGTTGGCTTGGACATTGTGCCAACCCCAGACAGGCAGAGTGGGGGCCACAGCCTGGGTCCTCCAGTGCTGGCCAATGGAGGCTGCACCCATCCCCTGCCTTCCTCCTCCCTCCCTTTCTGCCAGCCCCAGAAAGGTCAGAAGCCACCACCACGGAGCTAGAGGGGAAGGGGAGGGAGAACACAGGGG